GGCGAGTTGGTGTACCTGCGCGAATTGAGCCTGCCAGCCTTACTCGCGAGAAACAGGCCTAGGATCACTTCGAACCTCACACCGGCTGCCCTCCTCTTTCCAGCCCTGATTTGGAAGAAAAACTGCGCCCAATTTTCTTTTAAGTTTCGGTGAAAACCAACCAACCGCTTCCCTTTCCTGCCCGGTTTGCGTCCTTTTCTTAACCCTCTCTTCTACACGCCCGGGCTTCAAGGGGGCGTCTGGGAGGAGGAGAAGTTGAGTTTTTCCTAATGCGGCATGTGCATCGTCGGGCTACGTCCTCCTATCAGAATGAGTGTATAAGCAATGAGTGTTGATAAAATGCTTGGTCTGAGATATTTGCCCCCTGGAGCTTTAGTCCCACCTCATGCTGAAAAACTCTCTGAATTCCCTTTTCTCTCCCCCTTTTCCACCCTCTCCCCGCCATCCCGAATAACCATTAGGCTTAGTTTTCATAATTAAGCGCCTCAAATTAAAATTGCAGATCAAAGTTATACAATCAAAACCGAATAGGTTGCGCCTATTAAGTAAACACATCAAAGGCAGGAAAGTAGGGTTGTCCACAGAGGTAATTTATTGGGTAAGCTGCTTTTTGGTGACTAATGCTCAGCTTTTTTTATACGACTTTTTTTTTAAAGATGTTTTTAATCAAATAAGATCTGACAATGTTCCTGGCTAGGCATTAATACCTCAGCTTTTTCATGTCAGTCACCTCTAAGCGATTTGACAAACTCAAGATCTCTTAAAACGGGAAGAGTTCAGATCATATTAATTTCTCCAAAATGTTTTGATTCAAAGTAGTTTGTACTTCACGTTGCCAAGGGCAATCGGGGAAAGAGACAATGTGGGTAGCCCGGGTCCCCTTTTTCTTTTTATGGCCCAGAGGCGATAGCAGTATTTAAGCTGCTGAAATTAGCCTGGGGCAGGGAAAGATAGACGATCACAAAGTGAAACAAGAGGCAGGTTTTTTTTCCCCCCCGCTTTCTTTTTTTGGAGAGGGAGGGGAGGAGATTGCCATTTCACAAGAGGGTTAAGTATCACCATTGGCCTGTCTTCCCCTCTCCTCCCACCCCATCCCCTTCCTTTTTCTTCTTTCTTTTCCTTCCTTCCTTCCTTCTTTCTTTCTCTCTCTTTTTTCTATTTCTTTCTTTCTTTCTTTCTTTCTTTCTTTCTTTCTTTCTTTCTTTCTTTCTTTCTTTCTATTTAAGAGGTTGCCCATGTCTAAAATGGCTCCACAGAAGAAGTAAAACAGAACTGAGAACAGAGAGGGCAAAAGGAAAAAGTTAGGGAAAATAGATAGACAAACAGACAGGCTTACCCATGTGTGTGCACACGCATGCATACACAAACTTCAGCCCTAGATTTGTAATTAGAGAGTTTTTAAAAAATGAAGAGAAGAGAAAGAAGAGAAGAGAAGAGAAGAGAAGAGAAGAGAAGAGAAGAGAAGAGAAGGAATGGCTGGAGGAGTGTGTGTGTGTGTGAGAGAGGTATCTTTTTTTCACCCCTCCTCTGTGATTAAAAATCTCAGACGGTTCTTCTGTAAATAGGAAATTCGTATCTTTGCAAGTGGTTCCTTTTGAAACAACCGATCTGAATATTCAACTTTTAAGGCAAAGCTGTGCCAGTCTGTATGTACAACATTAATATGATCTCTGCAGAATTTGGGTCCTCAGAAAGATTACCATATCAAAGCTTGATGCCTGAGGCTAGAGAAGCTATCGATAGGCCCACAGCAGGTAAAGTAAAGATTATTGGTTGCGATGGTACAAGGAGCGGAGCTCCAGGCGAAATCCTGCACGTCATTAACTGGAAGTGATAGCGGTGGGAGCTGGGCCACCTAATCAGTGGCTACTGTTGGCGCTGGCTGGTAATTAGCACGCCAGCACGCCAACACTGAAGCCCTGCCGTCCCAATCACCCCTCCCCCACTGCAATCTTCAAAAGGAAAAGATCCTCCTATCCCGACTCTCATGAAAGCAACAAACTGACCAAGCCAAAAAAAACCAGGAATTACCCGCAGGGACCAGCCAAGTCAGAGGAAGAGATGGGCAGGAGGCAACTTCTTGGGTGGGATGGAGGTGTTGGGGGCAGGAAAGCAGGGTTCCAAGAACACAGGAAAACCCTGTGTGCAGCAGCCCAGAGCCAAGATAAATCCGGGGTAGAATCGCCCACTCTATCTATCGTATCCCACCATTTTATTTCGCATGAATAGCTTACGCTTCACTCATGTCAGTTCCCCCATCTGTTTAATAATTATTCGTTTCTAAAGCCAAGTCTTTGTATTATTCTTTCCTCCTCCCCCCCAAACTGGGAATTCAAATTAACTTGTTTTTCTTAAATCAAACAAGTTTTTCTCTCACCCCCTCTTTTTCTCTTGTTGGTTTCTAAATGAAATCATTGTCTTCTTTTCTTTCTTTCCTACCTTGTGCCTTCTAAACGTACCTCCCTTCTTTGAAATGATCCTAACCTATCTGAACAAAGAGTTCAAAATATAAGGTAGCCCCCTACCTATATGTTTTAAAGTGTTAGTGGCTAGAGTGGATAATTCCAGACTGAAAACGTTATCTCCAGTCTAAATGTTATGATTATTTCTATCATGTTTTTAAAAGGTATACAGTATTTATTGTGCATTTTAAGCACACATTTAAAACATACAGCACTATAAGGCAGATGGATGGCTCATGGAGCCAGAGCATGAGCTTTTAAGATTAGTCAAGAAACACCTTTTCATTTTCAGACAGGATTTCTTTATTATCATTCTTTACACCATTGAATAATTCAGCTACATTTTAAAAGGAAGAGGAAGTAGAGAGGGAAAGAAAGAGTGAGTACAGTTTTTCTTTCCTGCAATCAGTAGCTCCAGTAATTACCAGGAAAGAGTTTATCTGAAGGACTAGTGAAAAATCTTCTTCAGATGGGAGATTAGCGTGCAGCCAAGCGCTACAAATGCAGCACCTCAGTTGAAGGCAAAACAATTTCTTTTTCTTTTAGCAGTAACGATCTAGTCCAAAAGACAAAAGCATTTGTTTATCTCTGATATGTTGAATTCCTAGGAATTCAACCTCCCTCCCTCCTCTGGTGGGAAATAGTTATTTCAGTGAGAACGAAGAAGTCATTTTTAATTATTTCAAGTGGCTTATGCCAAATAAATGACCCTTTCTTTCATATCTAAACTATAACTAACCCTTGGAAAAAAGGTATTTTATTTATTCTAATAAAATTATTTGTGGATCTCCAAACACAAAATCAAAAACCTTGTATGCAGAGGAAGAAGGGGTCAAAAGACAGAAGGCATTTACAGTTGAGATTATGGTTTAGAATGGATGGCTCCATTGGCCTGCAGTTAGCTGAAAGACCTATAAAACCTCGACTTTGAGGCCGTAGTTACCAAAGCAGTCAACCGAACTGTCTTTGATAGAGAATGTCTCAAGGCGCTGTCCATTTCAGCACCAAAAAGCTATCCCGATTGTCTTTCCCAATTAATGCGATTTTAGAATGCTCGAAGTTATTTGGTTTTAAAAGAGATTTCACTGCCAGTTCCAGCTTTTGCTTCTTTTAGTGTAATATAATTCATATTAGCTTTATGAGCAATCATGATTTCACAGATCTAAATCTAGACTTTAAAGTGAATATTCCTCTTGTTCATTGTGGCCCACTCTTCCTAGAAATGAAAATTCAATCCACTAATTTCTTCCACAATGACATTAAACTGAATGCATAACATATATAATACAAAAGCAAATCTGAAATGCGATCATCTGTATACATGAGCCAAGTGGAGGACACCGTAAAGCAACATATATATATTTCTTCACATTTACTTTCAGTTTAGTCTATTCATTAACTTATCATTGGCCTTATTTGTTTTACTTGAATTTATAACCAATTTAATGAGTGTACATTCCAGCTGAGTCAATGAACACACCTACTACAAACTCAACTACTATACCATTATTCTGTTTGCTATCAGGGATCGAATTAGGAGTAATTAAAAGCCTAATAAACCTGGCATAAATTCCAACCCAACAATTAAAGGTTGTCTCTCCCCATTTCTAGTTGTGAATTCCAGACCTTGTGGAGTGGATTAGTGGGAAAAGGAGATCACCTCATTCTCTACAATTTATGAAAGTTAAAAGTCCCCTTTTCGTTCAAATATATTTCACATCACGATAACGTTGAAACAGGTTTGGCTCTGATATTTTCCTTCTGCTTCATTCTAATCCTTCTGACAAAGTAACTCTTATGTCTATTAAAATAATGGTGACATAAGAACATGAAATGACACCTCCTATTCAAACAAATATATCTCCATGCACTTAAATCACAAAGATAGGAATATAGAATTTGGACTGCAGAAACTCCCCAATCTGTGACTGGTGCTGCACTTTTCCTGCACCTGCCAATATGTTCATTTGCAAACACTGCCTTCGATTTTAAGTAGAATTTATTGAATTGCTAACAACCATCACGTTCCTTCCCCTGGCTTTCTGTTTTCTGGTGCAAGTTGTTCCAGCCACAAGCATGACCGGAAGGCTACAAGACACTTACCAAAACAGTGAAACGGAGCCAGCAGGCGGAAAAAAGGTCAACACAACATCACGTATTAAGTCGTAAAGAGAGCAGGTGTTTCTTTCATTCTTGAACCTTCCACTTCAATATGGCCATGTCTGAATTCAAAAGCCCTCCAAGCAATACGGATCATTTAAATCTGCTTCCCCCCCCCCCGTCATCAGTATGATTTCTGAGATTTCTTACAAGATTCCACTGATGGAGAGCGAAAGGGGAGAGAGTGTTACAGGAGTGCAAAAGACAGACAAGGTCCCCAAATGCTTTTTAAAACTAAATTTTGGACACCTGGCTTGCCCCACAAAGCTGGTCCCAAGTTTCAGGTTATAGACAAACGACTTGGTTTTTTTGTTTTTTTTTTAGTGGGAGGCAAAGAGGAGATATATGCACATATATCTATTTTAAAAAATTGCTTACCTCTCCTTATCACCCCACCTTGTCCATTCAGTACTAGCCCACACTGGGCCTCCACCGAACCCTTGAATAAAGAAGAGAAAAATCAGATTAAAAAATCCACGCAGGTAAAATGCACAGCTGCAAGGCTGAAATGGTTGGGATTTTAGCAGAAGCTGCAGTCTTTGCAATGGATACAATAACGCTCCTTTGGAATTGTGAGATGGGAAGGAGAAACCTTAGAAAAGCACAGCTTGTGCTCAAAACAAATAAGCCCTGTCTTTTTCTTCTTTTTTCTGTTCTCTAATATGACAGTTCTTTGACAGACTGATTGATTGGCAGGCAGACAAAGAGGAAGCAAGTAGCATGGACACAGACAGAACTTGCCGAAGGGATATTTGGCACATGAAAAAAAAAATTAAAATGAAAATGAAAGTGACTCTCTGCCTATTTGTGCATACAAAATATGCAGGGCCTCTGGAAATGTAGCATCTCTGTGTCACAAAATTGCCAACAGTGAATCAAATTAGAAAAAGACCATGGACACATCTGAGAATGGAGTTAAATTGGAGGGATGTGCCCATATAAAAATGGATGCTTCTAAACAATATAGTTCTAGTCTTAAATTGAACAGGAAAATGACCAAGACAGATTAGGTACTGCCCATAGAAGTATATAATGTGAGCATCACTGTCTGTCTTAAGATGCAAGAGAAAACTCTGAATTTTTTTTAAAAAACCCCTTTCCTTACGTGTGTACATTGTGCGTACTTATATGCTCTGTCCAACTACATCTCCCAATTCCCTTTTAGTACAGCAAATTTCAACAAAGACACATACTTTCCTCCACAAACAAATCAGGTTTTAAGTATGGAATAAGCTTTTAAAGGCATTTCACCTACACAGCAGTTTGTGATTAATTAAGTTCATGTGGAGGAAGAATTGGTACATAATAATCATACCCCCCCCCCCCAAAAAAAACCTTTTACAAAAGCAACCTTTATGATCCTTCACCCCACCCCCTTTTTCACCCTCTTGATGCTGGCCTGAAAAATCCCTCCTTTTCCAAGGCCTCTTTTGAGTTTAAATGTTCTGCCTTAAAGTGATTATGAAATCAATATGGACAAAACTGGGCGACTGAGCATAAATTAAAGCAATGATGGGAAAAGGTGTGACAGTTTCTTTTGTTGCCCATGGAAAATCTTTTTAGGGGATTGAAAGATGTCCACCGTGGTTCCAAGAATCCTTGCATCTGTTAGGCTGACTTAAACAGCCTTCCAAACTATTGGACTTTCACTTAACATTCTGAGCAGGGGAAAGTATATTTACATTTGTTGCATTAGAAATGAGACATATGTTGATGAGGAAAGTGGAAAAGAAGGGGGAGGAGGAGATGGAAAAAAAAGAAAAAAGAAAAGAGACTGAAAGACTTGAGAGTAACACTCTTATTGAGTCCTTTCACTTTGGATCTTTATGACTTTGGGTCATAAATCTGATTATTTGCTCCTATAAAACCTGGAAGTGAAATGAACAAAGCATCAACAAGGTAGAGCTATATAAATAAGTTACAGGAGTCCCGTCTCTCTTTTTGTACTTCTGTTCCTGATTTGCAACTAAGGAAGTAGCCATGATGGCATGATCCAAACAAACCAGCATTTCTGTATCCTGATTAGAACGTTGGCCAGGCTGCAAGTACAATTGAAGAATCAGAGAAACGTTTTGTTGAGCTGAGCTTTTTAACAATCTTGCATAGATCAACTACCCAATGAGCACACAGAGAGAGAGAGGGGGGGGGGAGAGAGAGAGAGAGAGAGAGAAGCATACCTATTTAAAGGAGAGAAGGTTGGTCTTATTTTCTCCTTTCTTAGCTAGAAACAAAACAATTTTTTTTTAAAAAAAAAATGGAAATGATTCTTCCAAATGAATCTGCTGTCTCCTTCCTGGAGAGGGAAAAGGGAGGGTCAAAGGGGGGAAAACGTTGTTTGGTCGGATGACATTGCACAAGTGACCAGTTGAACGGCACTAAGTCGAAAATTGGATAAACTATGGTGCTTTCTCGCACAGGGTTTACGCATTGTGGGTTTCCTTGCAAACGACGCTAATCCCTTCTTTTGAAAAAAAAATACAAGGCTTTGTGCTTGGCATAGAAAAAATGTACAGCTAAAAAAAATCAGCAGCAGACGTGGTTATAAAAAAGGGGAGTAAATAGGTCTTAGCGAAGCTACACAGTGAATGGCAGATTTGGAGAAGGGGGAACATAAGGGAAGCTCTTGTTGAAAACGGAACGGGGGTGGGTGGGAAGGGGGCAACAGACGCGTAGAAAATTATCGAGTGAGTTTCAGCGCAGAAAGTCAGGTTTTAAGGAGTTTACGGCCCCCGAGGATTTTATTCTTGTGGAGATTCCGCCGTGTATGAGGGTGAGAGGCTTTCGTTTAGTTAGCATATTAACCCGTCGGTTTTCCCTTTCGGCTTAAAACTTCTTCTCTGTTTTTCACTGAAAATAGAACCACTTTTTAACATCTTTAGAAGGAATAATTTAACAGAAGACGGTTATAATTTATATAGTTTGAGGGAAGAAATAGTGATAAGAGAAGCGGGACATTAAATAATCGCGGTGTCAAGCGCGGTAACCAGAATTCACTTTTATCAGCTGTAGCCGTTTCACGGCGGGGAAAAATATGTTTGTGTAAGCAAAAATAAACAGGTAGGCAGAGCTGAGAGGTAAGCCGAAATGTAGGGAGGTCTTTTATTGTTTACGTTTCTAAGGCGCCCATAGAAAGAAACTCCCGCCGTTGTTAAGGCCAGGAAAAGATTTAAGCAAAAGAAATTGGCTGGACTCGGAGTTCAGATACAGTCTCACCCGGCGTTACTTTCAGAGTTTGTTTCCTGCTACTGCTAGTTACACGTCTGGTCTTGTTCGGTAATCTTTGGCCGTTTCCTCATTCGGGGACTTAATAGGAAGTCTACCTTTCTGTGTTTAACGTTCCCTGGAGGAGGGCGGATTTTTTTTTTTCTTTTTCTTTTTCTGGGAAACGCGACGCGTCCTGCCTGACCCTTAGGCTGGATCCTCTGTCCTCGTAGGACAGGGCTGCGGACGAGGGAGTGCTAGTCTGTCTGTCTGGGCAGGGCAGGGCAGGGCAGGGCTGGAAGATCCCGATCCAGAGCACGAGAAGCAAGGCGTCAGGGAGAGGAAGTAGAGAAGGATCGGGGCGATTCCGCGCGCCCAGGAAGCGCATGCCATTTACCTGCAAATCGTCCGCTCCCGTGGCCGCCAGCCCAAGGCTTGGTCCCGGCAGGAGCCTTTGATCGGGATGCATCCCATATTGGGTGCCATGGCTCATGAGAGAGAGGTCGTGCCGGCGGTAGGCGTCTAAACACCCGAGTTCGCGCCTCTGCTCGTCCAAGCAGGAGGACTTGAGCGCCCGGGCGTTGTGCAAATTGATGAAGTCGGCGGGTTCTCCATGGTGGATCTGCTGATAGTATTGCTGCGAGTGGTGGAGCGAATTCAAGGAGTAGGCGTCGGGGTTAACCGCCGGGTGGCTGTGTTGGAACTCGTAGTGGAAGGACTGGTGGTGTAGGGGAGTGTACTGGTGGTTGGCGGAGAAATAGGGGGTGGCGAACTCAGTGCCGGTGGTGGAATAGGTGAGCGGCGACGAGGAAGAGTAGGCGACGGTGGAGTTGGCCACTGACTCCAAGCATCCCAGCTGCATCAAACGGTAACTGTTTGATCCATCGTGACGTATCTGAAAAAGCAGAATGGAAAAGGTAACCCAGGGTTGGCAGGCCGGGCATGGGGGGAAAAGCGGGGCGGCCCGAAGTACCCCGTCCTGTCTAACGCTCCCCCCCCGCCCCCAGCCCGGTTTCCTTCGCCTTGGCCCTCGCCTATACCTTGGGCTGATGCCGGGCAGCTCTGAGCTACTCTTTGCTTTGGTTTCTGTTTTCAAGGAGGGGGACAAAATCAAAGCGTGCGTGTGTGTGTGTTGGGGGGGGGGGGAGAAGAGTAAATCCTGCGCCTGAAAGCCAGAATCAGCACCGCCTGGCCAAAAAGTCGCTCCTTCCCCGCGTTCGCCGCGGTTGCTTTGGCGAATTCGCCCAACGCAAAAGCCGCTCCGTTCCCCCTCCCCCGTCCCATCTCAGGAGCAGATCGACGCCTTTTCGGATCCTGACTCCCTGGCTAAAAAAGCAGGGCCCCTCATTTGGAGCGCAGGTTCCACTGCTCTGTACAGAGGCTCTCGAAATGGCTTTACCCCTTCTGATTAAAAACATCTCTGTCCCGTCCAGTCACAAGCCCAAACCCAAACCTCCCCTTCCGACAGTCTGGAGGGGAGTTGTGGGTTGCTGGGCTCCCAGGTTCCCAGCTGTCTCTCGGACTACTTTTTCCAGCGTGGCCAACATTTCAGCACATTCTCGCGCCGCACAGCCTGTTTTGGTCCGGGCAGCCGTTTGAATGCGGCAGTGGTTTTGCCCCTTGCCTGTTCCCGGCGACAGATGTCATAACGAATTTTCGCTCTTTCCTTCCCCAAGTTCTTTCTGAAGCCGGATTATAATTAAATGTAACGGTCCAGTGTGGATTAACATACATACACAAAAAAGAAAGCGTGCGCGAGAGAAAGAGAAGAAAAACCCAGCCGCACACACGCGCACACATAGAGGCTCGTTCGAACACACACATGCATAAGCATACACGCACACACACACACACTCACACGCGCACACCCCCGCGCGCCCACACACACAAAATACCTCCGCATCGTGGACGAGTCCTGGAAAGGTAGTTGACATTTTGCGTTCTTCAAACGGGGCGTAAAACTAAATTCCTTTTCCAAATTTAAAAGGAAAGAAAAGAACCGAAGCCACCATCCAACCAAGAATAATTTCTTTAAAAAAAAAAATTAGAAAAACTGCCGTCGTCTCCCGTTTCCCCCAAATGTGGAAAAAAATAGAGACACATATATATTCTGTCTAAATGCAAAAGTGTTCCCCAATCTGCTTGTCGAGATCGCCAGCCCTTTTTCCGCCATACAAGCCTTTTAAAAAACCTGTAGGAACAATTTTCCCCTCTGCACAAAAGCGGCTCCCCGGATCAGATTTTGTACTTGCTGGGTATTTCTTTGGCTGATGTCGTAGGTCCCTTGGTAATATAGAAGTTTTGAAAATTAAGCATCAGCACTGAGAACTGGGAGGACAATAGATAGAGCAGCTTCATCCCTGGAGACAAGGAATAAATATTGTATCTTCGCCTAATAAGGAACTGGAGGTTCTTTCAACGTTTTTATACATTTTCCCCTTCGCTCTTTCAGAACGCTTTTTTCTCACCCGTACTTAGGCTAATGTGGAATCCCCACATGCAGCACTTCCATACCGACCTTTTAAAATTCACATTATAGGAAAGATCTAGATCTATTACATAAAACCATATGTAGATGAATTTAAGCTAAACTATCCTTTTCGATTGGTAAGTTGCTTCTTTTAGCGCACTGTATTTGCGGTCTGTTTGGTTTCCACACACACACACACACACACACACACTTTTGACTAGGTCAGAAATTTGTTTTGTGTGTAATTGAATTTCTCTCCCCCCCACCAATTAGAAAACCAATTAACCGAGTTGGTTTTTAAAAGAACAGAATCGAAATTAAGCCCCCCCCCTCCACCACAATCTAACTTTTTAACGTGGGGACACCCGACATGAAATCACATCGTTTGTGAAGAAAGCGTTTCAAAGGAAGAACTTATCTGAAACGTGAGTGCTGTCGCGGTGCATTTTGTTTATGTACGACACATGCACGCTGAATATAGTGGAAATAACGTTGCATGTGGAACGCTGGACGAATAAGACGGGCAGTGCCACAGACTTTATTTTGTTTGGTGGAACGCTAATCAAAGCTGCCCGTGTTTCCCATTGATTCACTACAATCGGCCAAGTTCCTTTCGGGAGGCGGCCCGGCAGAAGCACCCCAGCCCCGCTGCCTGCTTCCAGGCGTCTGCCAGCCTGGTCCTGCGCTGAGCTGAGCGCTGTCGCGGCGCCCGGGCACCTGGCGTCTCCCTTTTGCTGCCGGCGAGCCGATGCCGCCAGTAGTGGCGATAAGGAGCGGGTGGTACCGGTTTTTAATTGCCATTTAATTTGCTCGGCTTTTAAGTATTTAAACCGCGAAGGGTTTTTTTTTTTTTTCGGAAGAAGCCGCGGGCGAAGAGACAGGTGGGCTCTGTTTGAAGGTCCGAGGTAAGGGAGGGTTTTCTTGCGATCTGTTTGCGCCGGCTAACGGGAGCTGTCAGTCAAGGCGCTTTTCTTTCTACCCATGGACCCGGGCACACGACCGGAATGGCAATGCGTGGTCGGAAACGGGCGAGGCGAGTTTCCAGACAGGCCCTTTCTAAGGTTCGGTAGCAAACCCTTGAGCTTCGCCAGATTTCTCCGAAGAAAGAGCCTGGCGAAAGGAGTTGTCGCTCATAAGAAAGAAAGTGAGACAATGAGGCCGCCTGGCATTTTGATCTTGAAAAGCTATTTATTAATGGGGCTCCGGTGAGCTTTTCTCAGCCTTCGAGTTTTGCCGAATAAAGATGGGCGAAGGCGTCGGTGCGTCGACCAGGGTGCCCTGCAATTGCTTTAGGACGCTTCCAGTTGTGTGTTCTCCAGCACAGCCCTCTTCTGCACATTTCCCCAGCGGACAATCCCTCTGTCCGTCTGCTCCCGAGTAAGGGTCCGTGGCTCTCTCCCTCCCCGTCCCAAACTGCAGCCCTCTTCCCAACCTGGCCGCTGACTCGTTTCGAATTACCCCGTCTTTATAACGTCTGGGTGGCCCAGATCAGGACAGCCACCTGCCTGCCTCTTAGGATCACAACAGTGATTCAACATTCCAGTTAGGAAACCTGAAGGGGCCCCAACTCAAACCTCAACCTCCTATGGCTTCTCTCCTCCCCAGTCCCGTCCCTGTATAGTCTGGATTTTTAAGCATTTCTCTGAGTAGGAATTCTTAGAAACTCGGAACTTTGCATACAGTTTTGTAAACCCCTATGGTGCTCTCTTATATGGATTCCCGTCTATTTCAATGGAACTTCCTTTCCTTTCAATGGAACTAAGGAAATGCGCTTAGGATCTGGGGGTCATATTCTGATTTCCTTCTCAACTAGACTGAAAAGGAAATCTGCCAGATCGAGCCAAAGACGGTCTTGAGAACAAAGGTTTGGGAGTAGGACCCAGATGAAACCACTAAAACTGGAGCCCCCAAATCTTCAGCGCCCAGCAGCTCTAGAAGAATCTGTTCCCCAGTTCTGCAGTTGAGCAGTCTCTCAATTTGATTCCCGTAATAATCCTTGCTGTTACAGAAAGTTTTCTTTCGTCCCCCCCCCAGAAGGTCCAGGGCGGGGGAGTGGGAGAAGAGAAGGCCAACTGGAAAGGAAGGAAGAAAGTGCTACATTTTAATCTTCCTTGTTTTCGTTTAGGCTGGTTAGCAGTTTTCACTTCCCTGCAGCCAAAACAAGGCAGAGGGAGGTGCAAGGATCTTGCCAATCTCCTCCTCAGCTTCCTTGGCAAAAGAGAGGGAAATCAGGGGTTGAAACAAATAACCTGGGCTCTCGTGGAGGAGAGGAAGATTCAGTCGTGCCAGCTGCATTTGCCATGCTTTGAAGGAAATCATCCAATCTTACCCATACACTCCCCCTATGCAATAATTGTCCGCATCCAAGGGCATTTAATGAGTAAAAATTGTAGAATGGTTTATCACAGTGGTGGCAAACCTATGGCACGCGTGCCAGAGGTGGCACGTGGAGCCCTCTCTGTGGGCATGCGCCATCGCCCCAGCACACGTGGTCTCTAAAAGTTCACCATCACTGGCCTAAGGCCAGCCAGCCTGGAGCCGCCATTGGGGAGCCCACTATCCCACCCACCAGAGACCCCTTTGATCTCCCCCAACCCTGCATGGCTCCCACAGGTGTCCCTCCCCATAAGCAACATCGAGGTGGTCACGCCTACCCAGGCCATGCCCACCCAGTCTGCCACGACTGCTGCAGCCACACCCATCCAGTGGCCATGCCCACCCTGTCTGCCATGCCCCCTGTAGCTGCATCCGCCGAATGGGCCACACCCATCCAGTGTGGGTATATAAGTGGGTTTTGGGTTGCAGTTTGGGCACTCGGTCTCTAAAAGGTTCACCATCACTGGTTTATCACTTGCTACACCCAAAGCCATCTTTCTAAAGAAATGAACCACAGTTTCCACTTAGCTAATTGATTCCCTTCTGTGTTGTCCTGGCTACAAGAGCAGTTCTGCAAAGCTGGGACACCCGGTCGGTGGTAATAAATGAATGGCCTACTTTAGAGCAGCCTCTCCCAAAGTTTTCACAGCTTTCATCTGGGCAGCCTCTGAGAAAGGACTTTGAAGGAACGAGGAGGATGAGGAAGGAAGCAGCCTGGTCCTAGATGAGGGAGCCTTGTGCTTCAGTGGCAAAGGTGTTGGTTGTTGGTGCTGAAATGGAAATCTGATTGGCTGTTCTTTTTCTTATCAGAACAACATGAGAGAGCCGGTTTGAAGTAGTGGTGAAGGTGCTGGCCGAGAAATCAGCAGACTGTGAGTTCAAGTCCCACCTTAGCCATGAAAGCTCTCTGGGGGATTTTTTTGGAGCCAGTCAGCCTTTCAATCACAATCCACCTCATAGGGTTGTTGCTGTGTGGAAAATAGAAGGAAGGAGGAGTATCAGGTATGTTCACCACCTTCAATCATTTATAAAGCAATAAAGGCCAGATAAAAATAAACAAACATACATCAACATGCAATCCAAGGAAGCTAGAGTAGTCTTACTAAGTGGG